TAAAGAAGGAGCAAAACCAGCATTTCTTAATTTTGAATTTTATCACAATGGCACTGTGGTTCCTAGACTGCCTGTGTGTTACTGTTGAGCAAGAGCTACTGCCCCCGAGTTCCTGTGGGCACTGGGAATGAGTCTGCCTCAGGAGGCATGTCTCCTTGGAAGCACAATACTGGTCATCAGCTTGTAGGCAGTGTTTTGTGAGAGGTGAGGACGACTCACAGCCAGTAGGGCTTGAGCAGGGTATCACCTGGGTGCCTGGTATCTGTTGGAAGCAAGAGCATGTGTGGCTGGGAGGAAGCTTCTCTGAGGTTGTAGCTCTGCAGAGCAGAGAGCATCTTAAAGAGGTGGGATCTTACCTCTAGAGTGATTGATGGATTGTGTTTCACTTACTCTGGTGAAGCTGGGAAGTATTTCTTTGTACAGAATCACGATGTGGTAGCAGCTGCTTTCTTCAGAGGCTGCGGGCAGCTCAGACTCCTTCACAGCAGGTAGTTGCATTGGTGTGCAGGTGCACCCAGGGTGCTTGGTGCCCAGAGAGAAGCTGTGAAGCCCCTCTGCCGGCTCTTGCTGAGCCTGAGCATTTCAGGAGCCCAGAGCCTGTACTCAGAGGCAAGATTTATCTGATCTGCTGTTTGGCAGCATCTTGTTTGGGGGAGAGACATGGGCTTGCTAGCTCCTGTTAAAGTCAACGCCATATCCTCACTTTGAGCAGCGGTTGTTAGTATAGCCAGTTTAGTATCAGATGTAGCAGCTGCAGATCATATAACTGATCATATGATTGTGCTGTACCTTACCTCCTAAGTGTTGCAAATGAGAATTTCCTTATTCAGAAGCACACAACTGTCATTATATTCCCTTACACAGGTACTGTGCTCAGGCTTGCATAGGCCGTGTGAATTTTACTCCAGAGGTTGAACCTGTTAAGCAATTGTAGCCCCAGCTCCTTCAGTTTGTTGAGCAAAGGAGACACTATGGTTATAAGAAGATCACAATAACTATATCAGCCCTGTTTTACCATTTTTATGAGCGTTAATGGAACAAGGTTTGGGGACTGAAGGAGAAAATGGAATATGAGAAGGAAAATGAGAAGAGACGGTGAGGAAAGCATGTCATTTCTAAATGAATGCTCAGTGCAGAGGAATTGAATCTTTTCACAGCTGAAAATGGATCTTAAATCTGATGCCTTAGCTTGTTTCAGCTTCTGTAATGAAATAGAGTTTTCCTAATACCCTGTGACCTGAATTTCTCCCTGCTTTATGGGTGCTATTCCTTGACGTACAAACCTGTATTTTCTCAAGTCAGCATTTGATGATGGATGTCAAAATAGAGGCCATGTATTATGCATATAGCATTACCGATTTAAGGTGTTTACTTGTCAAGTTGAAGAAATTCAAAAATGTCACATTCACTGAATCCGCACAGCTGTCACTTGTAGTTTTTCATGCCTTTAAATGAAAGTTCTGATAAAGCAGGTTAGTTTTCCAGTACTTTTTTTTTTTTTCTTCTGGAGTTAAAAAATAGACAGCCTATAAGATTTATGTTATGATTTGGGAGGAGGGAACGTGGCTCTAAGTTTCCTGGTGCCTTGTGAGTCCAAACAGGCACAGAAAATCCCTCAATGCTCTGATTTTCCTTTTCCTGAAAATAATCCCAGATTTTGATAGTTTTAGAAAGTGGATTTGTAGAGGCATTTGAGTTAAGGGAAATTAAATTAAAATAGTAGAGATTTCTCATATCTTCCAGGATCATAGGATGAAAAATATTAAGGCATGACTCTATTTTTCGTTCAAGGAGAAAACAAAATCCCTTTAACATGCTTCCTGCATTTCAGACTGAATGCACTATGTGTGCAATGTGCAATTACAGAGCTCCTGACAGTCTGTGCCTGACAGAAATGCCACATTTACTTCAATCGTCGAACACCATCCTAGGAAGACAAATATTTGAGGGGTTAGAGAGAGGTGGCTGCAAATAGCCTTCCATAGAGAATGTGTATTTGTGTGTGTGTGTGTGAGTGTGCACTGCAGCAGAGGGAGGGCAAGAAGAACTTAAACATTTAGAAACAGTTAGGCCAACTTTCTTCAATTTGCTTTTAGCTGGTAGGGAAATACCAATGTGTTCTATCATCTGAATAGCCTAATTCACTGAAAAAATGTTTTTAGGGAGTGCATGCTGAGATGGGAAGAGATAATCCTCCAGCAAAAGAGAGAAAGAGGGCCTACAAGGATGTTCCCACCGGGGTCCATGGGAACAAGATTAGCATTTTTCTACTCTCAAGTGAGTGTGGAAAGTCTTGCTGTTGCCATTTTGTATTGTAATTCTCCGGAGGACCGAACCAGGCCTGCCACTTAAACTGCTCAAGAGCTACTTGAGCTTTTTATAATGCAGTGTGACAAAAGCCTTGTCTTGCCTTTCCTGTAGCATCACAGAATGCAAAATTTAAACCCTGGAGTCTGCTGCAGAAGGAAGTCTCACATTAATTTCTACCTTTCCACAGACAGCGGTCCCTCCATTTGAAATATGGCCTGGAGTCCCACTTTGATTTGTCAACTGTGTTAGGGTTACCTCTAGCTTCTGAGGTGGCAGCTGAAGGAACTCCATTAGACTCACTTTTTGAGTTGGAGGAATCCCAGTCTCTGCCAGTCAGAAGTAAGCAATCAAAGAGCCAAAATGGCTATCGCTTACTGTGCCAGACGCAAGCAAACATCTGCAAATAGAAATCAGTTGGGAATGCAAGTCACTGTTACCATGCTGGTCTTACTGAATTAGGTCCCATACAGTGAGTACTGTTAAATGACCAACTGTTAACAATGTCAGCATTTCCAATTGTTTCTAAGAAATCTGCATTCTAAAGATTTTCTGTGCAGTGGTAATATTAAATGGAATTGCTTTGCTGTCATAGATTTGCCTGTGGCAAAGTTTTTGTCTTGCAAGTCTATTGAGGATACCACATCCACTTCTTTTTTCCTAAAGAATTCCTTCACAGACTTTTTCCCCTCCCTTTTTATTTTTCCTGTCCTTACAATCCTCATGCTGTACCTAGCTTTCTTGTAATAATCATAAGGCAATTCATACTGGGATCTTCTGGAGGATAGAGTACGTCTCTCTTCAAGAATAGGAGAATTTCTCAGTGATTCTAGTATTACTAGATATCCATTTTATATTTGATACAGCAAAACTTAGGGAGAAATGAGCTGACTATGAAATACAAATTCAAATCTTATTAAATCAAGAAGGACATATCTAGTGGTCCTTATAGTTTGCCCTGTTAAGGATAGTTTGATAGTGACGCTAGTTATCATTAGGAAAAAAAAATCCCCCACAGAGCAGATAAGAACCAGTGTTATATTTTAAAAACTACAGATTTGTTTAGAGATTTCCTGGTATGCTAATTAGTCCCCAAATTGAAGAAAGGTGAAGTAGATAATATCATATCATCTTGTTCTGAATTTGGTAACAGATGAATGCATCAATGAATTTAACTCAGTGAAACAATTTCCACACAGCAAAAAGATAATGAAGTTACATCAGGGATGAATTTGGCTCTGATTGATTTAAAAGTGGCATACGGAGAATTCAAAAGTAGTTCAGGTGAGTTATAACAGAGGGTCAAAAATCTGTCCTTGGATGTCGGGTGTGAAGTAAAGAACTTGGGCATAATGTGGTAAAAAAAATCAATGTTTCCTCAGCAGTTTATGATTTAAATAAGCTTAGCTCATTCCTAATTCTAGGAAACAAATATTTGCTTAAAAATATGGCCTTGACATGGGTCTAGATGAAAGACCCAAAAGTCAGACTCTGGCTTCACCATCACTTCTACAATGAGGATATTAAAGAAACATTTCCATACTTTCTACAACTTTAATGGAAAAGGGAGATAGGGCACATTATTCTCAGCTATGAATTTCCAGGCCAACTGTTGCATGAGCTTCTGTATAACTACCTGTTTTTCAGTACTTACAATCAAACTCCAAAAGGCCTTGCCTGAGTATTTTTATTTCCAAAAAAAAAAAAAAATTAAAGAGTGCTCAGTGTCAAGAGCTCCATTTCAAGCTATGTAGAGAATCGGCTGAACACACAAGTTATGTAAGAGGTGAACCTTGCTGCTCTGCAGATCTTTTTTACTTCGAGCTCCTACCAATATGTTTCCTCTCCCACCTTTGCTTCCTATACATCCCCAAAGGTATAAATCTATTTCTAGTTTCTTTTCAAGCATCCGTCTAGCATGCCATTTGAGCATCTCTGTCTTTGTCCTTCCATCCATTTTTTTTCCTGTTAGAATGAGTCCTTCCATCCCCCAGTATTTCCATAATTATAAAACTCATGAAAATACAGATTGTGCAAAGTATGCATGAAAAGCAAAAACTTTTTATGGGTTGTGCTGCTCTTGGAAAATATTTTTAAAATGTTAGTAAATTTTGAATCCTGCATGCTGATTAAACTTAAAACCTCCTAATGAAAACAATTAGTTTCTAGTGCTTTGTTACTGTTTACAAACAACACTCTCTAAAATGTTATGTGAAGTTTAAGGAAAGCTATTTGTTTCAAGATTATTTGAAATACTAACAAGAAAAAAATTAAACATCTTAAAACTAGAAATCTTAGGATTTTTATTTATATATAAATAAGCCTTACACTTTCCATTGAAGGTTTTAGCATGTTTTGATGCAAATACTACCCAGGCTTGGGGTAACAAAAGAAATTTCAGCTTCTCTAATAGCTACCAGATAGCATATAGTGTAAGTGTCATGCATATTTTTGAAGGATGATGCTCATAAAATAAAGTGCAGGTTTTTTTTAAAAAATGGCAGATTTTTAGTGTGCTTCTCTGAAAAAAAAAATTGCAAACAGGAAGATCCTTGCTGTTGGTTGATATTTTTCTTTCTGTCATTGTATCAGCCTAAAAAACCTCATTGCATTCCTTACACACACACACACACACACACACACACATATAGTTTATCCTCTGTAAACCTTTTCTACAATTCTTTTTCTTTTAGGCTTTACACCCCCAGGAATGGATAGGTCATCGCCAGATAACAGTCCAGTCCATGGCCTGTTACGTCAACCCTCCATCACAACAGGAGCCAACATCCCTATTATAACAGAGCTCGGTAAGAAAAGCTAACATATATCCTTTCATGTACATTCCCATATCTTTCTCCTGCTTCCCTTGTTGTGCAGTCTCAGGAAAATTACCTATTCCATATTTTCTACTGCTATGTTTTCTCTTCAGTTAACTGTTTCAGATTGCTCTCACTAATGAAAAATTAGTAACAGTTGTTTTACTTTATATGAATAACTCAAATATATTTATCTCTTTCCTTTGGGTTTTCTCCATTTTCTTAAATAAACACTATATCAGACAAGATGTTTTTTTATATACTCTAACCAATAAGCAGGGTTCTGTGGATGAAGGTTAAAAAAGAAAAAACCCGCAGTAAGTATGAGCAGACGTTTCCTGTGCATTTAATCAATAGTAAGAGGCCATTTGTTTATTTCTTCATGGTCCAGAACTGTTTAATCATGTGTAACCAAGCTCTGTATAATAGTATGAGACTTGTTACCCTTGAGAATGCGATGATGGTAGGTAACCAGGCTCTGATTTCTGCTCTAGCTGTGGGTATTTATGTTGTCAAGTGGTGTGATGTGAAGTGCAGAAGCTGTTCTGTTTTTTTCACGGCAAATACAAACTTGATTTGTGGTCCTTTGTCCTTCTTTTTCAGTTCTATTTTTTAGAGCCTTACCTGTCTTTTTCCCTTACTTTATTCTCTTTCTGTACTTTCTTTCCCCCCTAAATACTTTACTTATTAGCTAAGCCTGGCAAACTTCTGCCTTTGGTTTCAATCAGTCAGGAAAAAAACAGTGGAACCCACATTCTAATGATAACTGAACTGGGTAAGAGTGCCTTTTTCCTTCACATCACTGTCTTATTTTCTGTTGTTGTTGTTGTTCTTACTGTCATCAGCTTTTTCTTTATTTATCTGGCTGTATCAGAGGGGCTACCCTCATGGCACTGCTTTGAATGTGTTTTATTTGTGGTTCTGGTTGAAATTGACTGTCTTGTTCTGGCCTTTCTTAATGATTTTTTTTTTTTTCACGCAGCATCAGTAAACCTTTGATCACACTCGTCTGACCTGCCGGCTGTTTTCATAGCACCTTCTCACCAATTCATTTTCCTTGGCCTGGGTACCTGCCCTTTCTCTCTCCTTCTGTCTTTCTCTTTCTCTCTCTCTCTCTCTCTCAATCTCTCTTTTTTTGTTATTTCAGCCTATTGTCAATGTGATGGACATGCCTTAACAGTTCTCACAGGAGGTCAAAGAAGAAGTAAAAGATATCAGAAAAGAACCCCCAGTATCATACTTTCCCTTAAGTTATTTGTTTATTTTTGGGCATAGGCCTTTTCTCAGAAGCTCAGGTTTTGAAGCTGTAAAAGGGTAGCCAAGCTTCTGTGTTGCTCCCCCTCCATAAAGAGAGATCTTGGGAGTGTTTGCCAGCAGTATTGGATTAGCACTTCCTGTGATGCGGCACTACACATTCAAGCCTCTTCCACCTAGCCCAGAGACCTGTCATAGGAATCATAGCAGGCTAACTTGCATCAGGAAGCTATTGAGGCTAAAACTGCACTTGCAGAATCCACATCAGATTTGTAGCACCTTGAGAACTGACACCACCCACAGCTAGCAAGTTGGTGTCAGAGTCGGGTATTAGTCTGCCAGATATAAATGGAAAAAGAGTGCTACTGTCAATAGTGCCTACTCTCAACTAGCAAATTAAACTAAGGCACAAGCTTTTCAGAAAGTACATTTGAAATGGTACATCAGGCTTTCAAATACTATTTTGCTCAAGAATCTGGTGAATAAATTGGTAGCCATAATACAAAGAAAGAAGTATTGTAGATATTGGTGTTTGCTAGAATGAATTACATCAGGGAGTGGGGAGGCAGGAATTTTAAATCCTGCTTGGGCTCTGCTACTGGCTTTCTGTGTGATCATGGCCATATACTGTTCAAGGGTTATTGTGAGGCTTTATCCATATTTATTCATATTCTGTAAGCTAAGCAGGGCAAGTGTAGTGTTATGTAGGCAGAGACTGAAAAAGAAGTAGATGGAAAATGAAAGTGCACAAGAAGGAAAATCAGAATAGCAGGCAGAACTTCTAAACTAAGACCAGAGCCAAACCTATTCAAGTCAACAGCAGCTCTCGTGTTGATTTCAAAGCTTCCAGGGCTGGCTCAGTAGATGCGGTCCCACAGGGAACAGGAACATAGTCAATGTATAAATTTGCAAATGCTGAAAAAGTTTTTGATTTTCCTTCCTTGCACAGAAATTGAAATTAATTTGTCATTTAGTAAGTTAAATGGGTATTTTGATGGCATAACTAAGCAGGCTGTGCTTTCATGCCTGAGGAATACTAATATGGAAATGAAATATTTCATGAAATATCATTCACTTGATAAACTGATCTCAAGGAAGGAACCATTTGTAGTGGAGGGGTAGAGGCAGAGAGCTTAATGTGGCAACTGAATGCTAGAGAAAGTCTAAATGACAAATACTGCTTTATATAGGCTTTAAAACAGCGTGATGTAGACCCTTTATCACAGTGGCTAATGTACAATTTGTGGCTAAGGTAGTGAGGGTGTGGAGGAAAATATCTGAGTAAAAGGTACTGCTGCAAGAGAATAGCTGTAGTACTGCTCAATCCTTCAGATAGATGCATGTTAAAGGGACAGTTTATCCTCTTTTGAGCTGTAAATGCATTAACACCACTCCAGTAAGAATCACAGCAGCACATCTAAAAGATGCCTGTGGGCTAAATCAGGGTTTTATGGACAGGCTTAGTCTTACAACAGGGTTCTGACTTGGTGTCTTGTGATAACATTTTACTATACATCCGCCCAACCTTAGCCACTGTTTCTGACCAATATCAAGATTATCTCAATATATAGGAAAGGTCTATGTATCTCATTTTGAGTGCAAGCAGCTGGTGACACGAAGCTACTTTTACAGCAAAGGGATAGTCACCTCCCAAGAGCAAGAGAGTCCCCTCTTACGAGCAAGATAAGGATCAACAGATTTCTAAATGCACATTTTCACATCCATGTTGATTTCATTTTCAGTGACGTCAAAGACACAAGTCTGTGTTTCCAGACATCTGCTGTTTCTTTTTCTTTCTGATTGTGTAATATGTAAGGTCACATGCTGGTGACCCAGAAGCACCTTATGATTTTTTTTTTATTATTATTATTTCAGTAAATGATTCAAATGTTCAGTTCTTGGACCAAGATGATGATGATGACCCAGACACAGAACTGTATCTCACGCAGCCCTTTGCATGTGGAACTGCATTTGCTGTCAGTGTGCTGGATTCTCTCATGAGTGCAGTAAGCAAATAAACCTTTTTCATTCTCTCCCATGAGAATTACTGTGAAAGAGTAAGAAAGTGTAATATCTGTTCCACAGGTAGTCAGGAGAAGACACTTTTCTCTTAGGTTTCAAAATAATTTGATAGCATAAACCAGGATTCTTTCAATTGAATGTAGAGACTTTAAGAAAATGAGCTATTTAGGACCACTGTGAGTGTGTGTTGGCCGCAGGTTTTAACTGATAAGTCTTGTATTCAATTTGAAAGATTATCATTTCCAAAAAATGTTGCATCTCCCTCTTGAAAGCCAGACCTAAATTCAATGTGTCAATCTCTGTGCTAACTGTTCATGTCAGAGAGCATCAACTCTGTTTTAAGCTTGTAATTTCCTATAGCCATGAACAGTATTAGATACATGCTCTAAGTATGAGCACTGGGGGACACTGATAGAACTGTATGAAAGCGATTGTACACATTAAGTGAACTCTACTTGTGTGAAGAGAGGTCATCATCTCTTTTTCACATGAATTGTGTTGTGAATCAAAACATATGTGCATGCCAGATACTACAGATGGTGGCCTTTAGTTATGTCTACATTACAGTTTTGGTTTGGAGCCATAGTACAGTTTTGAAGCAAGTGTCTCAGTCATCCTCTTTTCGTCTTCCTTAGTTCATATCGACTAGATTTGGACAATATTTTGGGACTCTACTGCACTGTTGTTTCTTTTCTGCTGTCGACTCTGTCTCGAAGGCATATTTATTATTGATAGAAGTTATTGATACTAGCTTAGTAGTTTCTCATCTTTGGATATGTATTCACCTGTAACAAACAGTATTCATTCAACACAATCTCTCCTATTGAAAAAGAAAAGCAAGTTAAAATATTTGTTGGAAAGAGATGTTAAAAAACTATGATAGCATGGGGCAGAGGAGGGGCTTTCTCAAAGAAATCCATAAAAAAAAAAGAAAACAGTAAACATGAACAAAGGCAGATATGACTTGGAAAATGACAATTTTAGAGTAATTATAAATGAAAAGCAAAGTGTCATTAAAGTTAAAGCAATGTTATTAAAAGATGTGCTAATTTTCAGTTAAATTTTCTGTAAAAGACCAATTAGTTTAAAAAGCTTGACAGCACTGACTGCAAAACATAAGCGCTCTGGTAATTATACTTTTAAAAATGATTGAACAAATGGGAAAGCATCCCCGAAACATTTACACTTTGAAAGAGCTGCACTATAATTCTGTAGCACAGGCTAGGTGGCACTGCTAGCTCAGATATCTATGTCAGGATGTCCTTGTCATTTACCCAGTTTTAGTGTCTATGATGCATTTCTTTTTTTCAATATTTAAACTGTACCTATTTCATATTCTCATTCTGGGTATTGGTTATAAAGATGTTATACAAATGTCCAGTGTGTGGTATGGCAATAGCAAACAAGTATTTCTTCAGTTATGATTTTACAGCCAACAAAAAGAATTCCCTGTCATTACTGGAGAGTGTCTTGTTGTGTTAAGTGCTGCAGCACCTTTCCAAAGACATCCTGTAGATTGCTTTCTTATAGGTACTGGCATATCCAGGCCATGTACCCTCCCACAGAGCAAGTAGAAGATCACTCTCAAATTAATTTTAGTGTATTATTATTCCAAAGGAAATGGATATCAGCTAGTTCAGCTTTTCAGTGCCCCCCAATCCCAGACTGGTAAGAGGTAGTAAGCGGAGTCTGGTCTGAGTTTCATGGCAATTGAAAGAATGGAGGGATGTTTTTTTTCCTGAGGAGTGTTAAATATCAGTACAGGAGGAAGCAACCCTATTTAGCAAAAGATGCCAAGTTAAAGCTTCCTTTTCACCCATCCTTTCATGCGTATGGTTGGGCATTTTCTGATTGGTTGCGATGCCAAAGCAGTCCATTCTGATAGCTGGAATCTTTCATTCATTGATGACAAATGAACAAAACTGTCATTTGGCTGCACTCATCCATCTGATTAAATGGTGACATCCACATCAGTCATGGTGTGAAACCCAAATTAAGCCATTGTTCCAAGATAAATGTTGCCTCCTTTGCTAATAAGTGTCTTAGCTTTGCCTTAACATTTGTCTAGCAGTGGGAGGCCTTCCTCCACTGACAGCTTTTTGTTCCACTGACGATAGACCTGATTCTGTCCTCACTGACATCGGTTTCAGAGTAGGGTATGGCTCCCAGAGTTACTCATGTTAGCACCTGACAGAAGTCAGAATTGGACCCATTATTTCTTATTTTCACTTTGGGGTTTTCTTCTTTTTCTTTTCTTTTTTTTTTTTTTTGTATTAATGAGCTTGTGACAGGTGTCTGACTTGATGCATTATTTTACCAATGCTTTTATTTCTCAATTTAATATGAGAACTGCAGTAAAATGAGCAATATGGCAACAGTGTAATTTCTCAGTGGATAGTACTCTAGTGAACTACATTTGATTTTACAATAGGGGACAATTGTGCTCTTACACAGTACAAAATTCAGATGTGTTGAAATCTTGGATTCTGGCTATTACAGCTGTAATTTGCATTATGGAGTAAAGAGAGAGACTAGGAATAGAGTGATGTTAGGCCTAATGATATCTCCTAAAGAGTGAAAAAATTATTTGTACAGCTTTAGTCTTTCCATGTTATACCAATGACTGCAAGTTGCCAGTCTATAAAAACAGGCCATTTTACAGAGACCAGCATCAATCAGTCTTAGTGTAGCTGAATGTTCCTCATCATAGTTGGCCTCATTATAATAAGATTATAAACCAGACTTTAAAAATCCACCAGTAAAGCTATCTATTACTTTTCTTTCATGTTCCTTTATCTTGATTTATATAGAAATAAGAAAAAATATCATACAAAACTGAGAATAGTATTTAAAAATAGTACTAAACATCACTACGTAGAGAAGAACAAAGACTGGTAATCAAAATGCTGAATAAGAGATTGGGAAGGCGTGAAAAAAGGTACTATTGCAGAAAATGATATGCTTTCCTAAAGATGTGTGCTTAAAGTACCATATGGAACGTGATGAACCACATTTTTCCTGAAAGGCCTTTTCCATCTTCTCCAGTCACAATATCTCCAACCCCTAGATCTAGGCAAAATTCAGTTTAAGATCCATGAAACTTGTGTTAAGTAACACCGCTGCTTAACTACGGGAGCAAAAGAATTATGCTAATCCTTTCAGATCTGAGTTGTATATTGTATATACTGACAAAGGCCAAGAAAAATGGCTAAATGTAATGCAGATTCTTTGATTCTGAGCACTCCCATATTGGAAAGCATAGCACAGTGGGCAGAGTTGCCAGAGGGCCTGATTCTCACCTCAGTGATGTCAAGGAAGAACTAGTTGAAAGGAGGAACAAAAAGCATGCCTAATTAATTGTCTTCTCTCTTTCACCTGTGCAGCTCCCATTAAACATCATGGAATCACTCCTGATTTACATTTATGCAATGGGTTACACTGATTTTTCTGTATGTTAAGAAAGGTTTGAATTGTTGCACATAGGCGCAGTGCATCCACATATGTAAAAGCTGATTTTAGATTAGCTGCTATTTCAGATTAACTGATTCGTCCTGAACCTCTACTAATGTCAGACTACTCTTTACAGTATACTTTGTTTTTACAATATGTAGTGCTTTACTCAGCCTAATTTAAAATAATTGGAGTTGATGAGATACAAATATTTGCTTTAGGGCACCTATAATAATAACAAGATTTTCCTCTCATTTGTATTTAGTCAACAGGTGAATGGTGAGTATGTGCCTATGTAAATAAGTGGTAAGCTTGAAGTTATGAAACTTCTGTATAACAGTGAAAAACATTGCCTTTAACTTAGAATTCATTTTCTCCTGTTTTTTCTGTCATCTCAAGTGAACAATAAAACTGAAGTTTCATTATACAAAGAAAGAGTATCAAAGTAACATGGATAGGGAGCCGGTTCTGCTTTTTAATACCAGGATAAAACATTTCAACCTATACCTCAGTTTACCAATCTATTAAATACAATTACCTTATGTGGATAGAGCAGTGACTTTCATTGAAAAGTATTGCTGAAATCTTTGCACAATAAACACCATTTGAGAAATCAGTAGTCATTATTACGTGGTTGGCTTACAGACATTTGTTCTAAGTCCTAATTTCAACAGAAGTCACAAATCTAGTAACATGACTCCTGTGTACTCTAGTCAGCTCATTTTCTTCTTATATGTCCCCCCTACTTACAAAGCTTCTGAAAACCCAGATGTTAGTGACATTGTAAATGATGGTGTCTGCTTTTTTTGGCGATCATTATTTTTTGCTTAGTGCATACTTTACGTTGCAGATATTTAACTGAGTATCTCTGAACTACACCGCTATACTTTTAAGTGAACTTGAAAGTCATTCATCTGGCATTAAATTAATATTTAAAATGCCCATTGTTTGCCTGACAGACCAGCAACGCTAGAGATGCTGGCAAAATGTCAGTGTGGAGTAAATCTTCCCTAATAAACCACACTTACCCTATACCCTAGAGTTTTTTAAAAGGACCACCAGGATCCCAAACTCATCATACATTTATCTGGAATGAACTCAAGATGTTTAATTGATACATGCTTATGTCTGAACACTGTCAAATCTCGTAATAAGATGTTTAGTACAATACATCGGTTAGACTGCTAGAGTCCAGCCACAGTAATAAGTAATGACATTTGCAGCACAAAGGCAGCTCCCCAACGAATTGGTGACAGGAGTAAAAAGGCAATCTAGCCTGTGTAAGCTTTAAATGTGGTCTGAATTTTACAATTACATGTTCTAAAGCCCATTATTAGACATGAAGGCAATGAGAAGGAAAGCAGTCATTGCATCACTACTAACACCAATTATAGGAAGCATAAATCATTCAAATTTTTGTACTTTAATAAAAATCAGCCTGAATTGGTGTTTAGAAGGAAGGATCTAGTATAGGAGCCTAATGGGATAGAAGAAAATAGAGTAATTGGAGGCTGCTGTCTTTTCACTTTCTATATAAAATTATTTGAAGAGACAGCCAAGAACTTTAAACAGCAGAAACCCAGAAAAGTTGTAATTTGGATGTCTTCAGTTGTGACTTTAATGGTGTTTGCTTAAAGAGCTTTCTTTTATCTCTGCAGACATACTTCAATGACAATATCCTCACACTGATACGGACACTGGTAACAGGAGGAGCCACACCAGAGCTGGAAGCACTGATTGCTGAGGAGAATGCGTTGAGGGGAGGTTACAGCACGCCCCAGACACTTGCAAACAGGGACAGGTGTCGAGTTGCACAGCTGGCTTTGTATGATGGGCCATTTGCGGACCTAGGGGTAAGATCATGGGAGAAAAGTAGGACCAAAGCTAGCCTGCAATCAATTTGTTTTCTCTCAGAGTGACTTAAAAATCTATCTTAATTAGCATATAATTTCTATTATTTAGTTTGACAAAGCTTTTGAAAGGTCCGATGACACTTTATAGCTTGAGGTGCCAGGTTTACCTTTACCTTTTTTGAGAAACCATATGAGTCCCCAGACTCCTTGTCTGGATATTTCATGCACAGTGAAAAAATGCTGTGGGTCTTCTGAGGCTTTGTCAAGAGAGATGGATGAGCTGACCTGTATGAAATAAGAAATGGTCACCTATTCTAAACATGAACAATATCTACATCTTTGTTGGGTTTTGATGGACTTGTTCAGTCTTTGCATGTTCCAGAGCTTCCAGTTCTTGTTTAAAATACACTTATGAGCTTGAAAAGAAAGCTGTAAAGATTGTTTTTTGCTGTTTCTGGATGAGTGAAAATTCTCATGAAAGCCTGATTTTCTGATATTTTCACCCTACTATCCTAAGAGTAAAGTAAAAAAAACTTTTAAAAAATGATCGATTTGGATAAGTATCTAAAGATGTTTTCTGGACCAAATCTTGTGATCTTCTTGAGACTAATCACAAAGCATCCACTTTGCTTTGATGGTGATGCACAATTTGATATTTCGTAACTTAACCTTGCATTCACAAGTTTTGACCCGAGAGAATCATGCAGTCTTCTTCATAGGAGTGTCAGAAAATCACAGATTAAGGATTAGATAGAAGCAAACAGCCTATCATTTCCTGTAGCAGCAAATGGCATCCATTCTTAGCTGAGATTCATAGCTTATCAAAACATTTGGGTAGTCAGAGTAATGTTTTGGCAAATAAAATGAGCAATACCAGTCCTTCAAATACTACTTCACCAGAGCCTCAATTACACTCTGTTAATGCAGGTGGAATGGATTAACACTGTTAATTAACATTGTTACCTAAGAATAAATGGTTTAGATACACAAATATCAAATATGAACTAATTTTTAGCTAAGCGAAACAATCATTTTTTATTCTTTATGAAAAATGGCATACATTTTGTACTACTTTAAAGTGATACTTTATTATCATTTTAACTTCTAATTTAACTCCCTAATTTCTCTTGTGCTCCACAGTGACTTTATTTATCAAGCTGACAGTGTTTGTACTGCCAAATTGGGTCAAAAATATCAGCCACTTTGTTGAGATATTAACTATCGTAATTTACTGAATGAACATTGTTTGATCTGAAAATTTACATTTCGAACTTAAATGAAACCACCCTCCTCTCCAATTTAGCATCTTTTCATGGACCAGTACTCTCCAAAATAATGATTTTACATAATTACTTTACATAATTACTTGGTTTGAAATAAAACATATTTGTTTCCTTGAGTTTCTCGTTGGTGACAAACAGCAAACTGTCTACACATTGTCCTTTTTGTAGAGGGTCAGACTGAAAATCCCCTTACCTGTCATTGCTTTAACAGGGAAAAGAGAAAAAAATGCTGTTTTTTTTTTCCTCCTAGGATGGAGGTTGTTATGGAGATCTATTTTGTAAAGCACTGAAAACGTACAATATGCTTTGCTTTGGAATTTATCGATTAAGGGATGCACATCTAAGTACACCCAGCCAGTGCACTAAACGGTAAGGCCAGCATTTTTGACTCTCTCTCTCTGCTTCACTGTTCTTCAGTCTTCTGGACAAGGAAGATCCCAATGCCTGTAACAAATCTAAAAAATGACAAATCTAAAAATGGAGCTTTCTCCATTTTTGCTAAAATTTTGCCACAAGTGCTAACTCTTTGCTAGCTCATGATGATTCTTTACCTGAGTTCAAAACACAGGCTGCACATCACAGCATATGTTTTCAGCTGCTTTTAATTGAAAAACTTTAAAGTAAATTTGGAGCACACATGCTTCATCTTGTTTGATTTATGATCATCCACTGTTTGCATACAAGAAAAAAAAAGATTTCAGTGTGTTAATATCAATCAGCTATAAATCAGTATCATTAGCAAAGGCTGATTATCTTCCAATTTACTTTAATTATATACTTTAGATAGTAGTAGTTAGAATTTTCTTTTTTCTTAATGCTCGGAAAAGTACTCCTGTGGCTTCCCATTTGTATTAGCTGCATCTAATCTTCATTTCTTCTCCTATGTGGAAGGACTCTATTAGTAGGCTCTATTAGGAGGCTACGTTTTTACTTTAGTAGAACCAGGGCTCAGCCCAGTATTTTAGACAGAGCACACACGATTTCATCTTTGCAAACTGAAAGCCGGTTAGCAGCTTACTTGAAATGTGTCTTAATTAAGTGCCTGCTAGAAATACACAAGCACACCCATACCAGAATTATCACAATTCTGCCATCTGTTACTGTCTCATTCCCTACCAAAAGCATCATTATTGGGTGGACATGGAAATAAACCCTGCAGCCCACCGAAGTGTTTTTTTTTTCTGTAAGGATCTGGACAAATGGCATAGAAAAATCATTTTCAGTTTAGACTTACACTGTACTTGCTATACTTGGGATTATTTGTTGGGTTAATAAGCAACCTCGGTCCCTGAGGCAGCTAAGCCCGATCTCTTATGAGCACTGAAATTATTTGAAAAGAAGTTATGAGCTTCATGATCAACTTTTACTCATTTCTGGCTTAGATGGAGAATTCCTCTTGCCTTGCTCAAGCATGGTGTTCCTCATATGCATGAAAAAATTTAGCAACAAGTTCTATAAGCCCTTTTTGCTCCTGAAAGGGGATTTGGAGAGAGGCAGAGGATTCTAGCAATTGACAGTTTTCATTTTAGGCCTATGATGTTGCGTAGCAATGCTGGATTCTTGGATGTGTGCAGATTTCTCTTTATAAATGCTCTTTGAAGCCAGGATTGTACACTTGGAATGAATGAACAAAATAAGCAGTTAACCCCACTGCAAATTTGTTAATATATTTTCCTTATCTTGTATTATGTTCACTCATAATAAAAACAAATAATTATATTCCTTGCTCTATTGACAGTATTTAAATATTCCCTTGTGGAATGAGCTGCATCTGAAATCCTCTTCTCCCTGCTTTTTGGCCATTCTTTTAAATGTTATTGCTGATGGGTTATTGCTGCTTTCTCACAATATGTTAATCTCTTTACTATTGTTTTTGCATTCCCATGCAGCTAGAGAAAGGAGAGTGGCTTGTATGGTATATTCTCTGAACAATCATGATGTGGTTCACTTGGAGAACATCCTCCTCAGTCAGTATGCCTTCCACACTCAACAGTAAACGTACAAAGAGAAATGTGATATGTGATATAAGAAGGCCCCAAATAGTAAGGCGTATCATGTGAGCTACAATTGGGTACACACCAAAGGAAATGGAAATACAAAAAAAATGGGATAAATATTCATAAGATGACATTGCTAGCAGAAATTTTTAATACAAATCTAACCTTGTTTTCTCTTTCTTTTTTTCCAGTTATGTTATCACAAACCCACCATATGAATTCGAGCTTGTGCCGACAGACTTGATCTTCTGTTTGATGCAGTTTGACCACAATGCTGGCCAGTCCCGGGCCAGTCTTTCTCATTCTTCCCATTCCTCCTATTCTTCCAGCAAGAAGAGTTCATCAGTTCACTCCATCCCATCAACAGCAAACCGACCGAACCGCACCAAGACCAGGGATTCCCGGGAAAAACAGAAGTATGTGCAGGAGGATAGACTTTAATATGTGTACCTGCTCCCACTGTGTGTGAAACTTGCATCCACCACCCATTCTCCCCAGTTAATGTTTCCAACAGTAACGTTCCCTGTTTTCCCATGGAGTTCTCCCTTTTTGTACACATATTTTGCATATGTATGACAGTGTGCATGTGATTGTCATTTTTATTTCACCACCATAAAACCCTTAAGCACAACAGCAACAAAGCAGACGGACCAAACGTTATTTATGATGCTAGGGGAGAAAAAAATCCAAACCCATAGGCACCCTGAAAATATAAATAACTCACTGCAGTAACTGCTCCACATATCAGAAAATGGAGTGTATTTAACACTTGCTCTTGATGTCAGAGTTACACAAAGAAAGTCATTTAGTGAAGAAGTGTTGATGTATGTTGGGGTAGTTTTTTATATTCATATTTACAGGACTTGCTATGTTTATTTGAAGCTTATAAAACTAACCTATTGGAAAAAAAGCTACTGATTTTCACTCTAAAAGCTGATACTGTATAAGGCTTTCACTCTTTGTATAGATTATTGTTAAGCACCTGCTCTATACCAAAGCAACATCAGGGACTTTTCTGCTTGTATAAGGACTTTCTTTAAAATATTAGCCTTTTGGAGATAGTGTCTTTTCCCTTTAACGTTGAAATTGTCTGGGCGTAGAGTTGTAAAACTCTAATGGTTTAATTTAAGTTTAGAAAGAGTCTAATTGCATATTAAATTATTATTCTGTCTATTTATACTGCCACATGAATAGCTATATTTTCTTTCACTTTTGACATTTGGGATGAAAAGCCATATGTATCATAAATATTGGATGTAAGTCATTAAAAACTGCCTTCCTGGGACTTTTACGTCTTTAAAAGGTGAATTAGTCACCTTATGTACAGAATAAATAATGTTCAGAAAAGAGCAAGCATTTTTCCATGCTTTAAGTATCAGTCCTCAAGGGACTGTGTGCCTTTCCCCAGATGGTAGTTTAACTTCTCTTAGTTAGAGTGATGGTATAAATCTTTCAATAAGAGTCCTAATGTGAGGAGATCCTGCAGAAATCGTGGGCCGAGCTCCAACTGGTTCTTTACAACAGGTGCCTGCCAGTAGAGGACTGAGTGCCTTTAAGATCTGAGAGGCTCCTCTCCCATTGGGGAAGAAAAGGCGCTATGCCCTAGACTGCTAATGAGCAAAGCAATAGGGCTGGTGTGGAAATACCCAATGTACCAAGGTGTTGTGCTCTGTGCACTTGCCAGAAATTGGTTCTTGAGTATTCTCACCAGTGACCCACCTAGCCAAACAAAAATTGTGGCAGGGAATTAAATGAAGTAGTGGAAAGGAACCTGTGCTAGACAGTCACAGTTCAGGTTTTTGGTTTTAAATTTCAAATGCCAACCTCTAAAATACAGAAATAGTTGTGGGTGGTGTGAAGAGAGATGTTCTGGGGGTAGCTGAAAGGGAGACGGAAACATACAACCTCCACTGGCTACCCAGCAAAGAAAGCATGCGGAGAGAAAATAAATATTCAGACTTGGGAGTGACTAGCATGGTAACTGCCAACCCAGACAAGGTGCTTTTATGGTTAGTGCTGTTTTCTACCTTCCCCTTCCCCAAGCATGATAATTTTGAAGATTTGCTTGCTGTGTGAATTGACAATGAAGCCAAGCACTTTTACTGACAAAACCTGGTACCGTGTAAGTGGGCTACACAGAGTGCCTCTGTGCGGTGTTAAGCATAATGATTGGAATACAGTATATATGTTTGTGTGCATTCAAATGCAGCTGTAAGTCCTATCAGTGGAAAATGTTGCAAATTATGTTTGGTCCCCACAAATGAATATATTACAGTTGCTCTTGATCACAAATTCATGTGTTCTTTTTGCAAAGGAAGCTATTATGTTTTGCCCTAAGAATATTTATAAATATAAGGATGTGCCAGTTAAAGTGCTCAACAGGAAATATGACAGTTTAAAAGCATTGTAAAACTTACATAGCTTACTTCTTTTTCTAAAGTGCAACAAGGATGAATAGAATGGGCCAAGGTATGACAATTAATGGTTCTGCATGACCTAGCAACTGCTGTAGGTTTCCTTCTATAACTTGTCCTTGTGAAAACTTGTGAAATTAAAAAAAATAGTTACAAACCACCGAAGTGTATTGGCTTGTTTGTTTGTTTTCTTTCTTTTTTTTTTTTTGCCTTTTTTCCCCCCAAACCAGAAGTTAAACTGGCTGCTGCTGCTGCTGCTGCTGTTGCTCAACCCTGTTTTATTTTTTATTATTTCATCTGCTTGCCTTAGTGATTGCACGTGTCCTCTTGTAACTGCCCAGGTTCCTGCTCAATGAAGGTGCTTCCCTGATACAGACATTATTTTAATTTCCCAGTCCTCATTCCCATCCCCACTCCTTTCCTCCCTTCTCCCTCCTCCCCTCTGTATATGTTTATGAGCATCTTTTTGTGTTTACATTGACAATATTGACTGAAGATAGTTGAAAGCAGTTATGCATTTTGGAAGAGTGTTAATGGCTTTGACACCAAAATGCTTTTCCATTAATATTTTATCTGTTTTCACAAAAAGTAAGAGTAATTTTTTTTCTCTCGCACTGCAAGTTAGTTATTGCCTACTACATGTAAAATACTCATCTGCCAAACAAAGAATTGGGGAGTAGGTGGGTGAATAAACTTGCATTACTTATTTCTCATTAAGGAAGAAAATGTGAGACTTGATGCTTATTTTTAAACAAGTTACCTGTTTATTGTGTGTGTGTGAGTGCATGCACACACAAACACATATATACACCTTCATTTGAAATTGCAAGTGTCACAAGAGAAAAATTTTCTACTTTAAAACAACTGTAACCAAATCAGGGCTTATGATAAGAATATACATTTAGTAAATCTTTGTTTACTACTACATTCTTTGCCGCTACTTAGAAGGGAGGGTGTTTCACAGTGATGTTTGTTCAAACATGATTTTTCAGACCAGAATTACAGACAGAAATTTTAAAGTGAAGGAAGAAGAAACCTGTCTGATTTTCAAGTGAAAGGAATCTGTATTTTGATCATTTTACTTTTAATTATTGATATCTTTTGATGCTGCAGGAAACATTCTTACAGAAGATATTAATATTTATTTATTTATTTCTAATATAAACATGAAGCCTTTATAATCATCGTTTCCCACTTGGGTGCTGATAGCCCATTACAAACATAAGTGTTTGAAAGGAAAGTAAATGTTTCCTGCTTCCTAATACTTGAAGTTACTTAGCTGTTCCAACAGCTCTCAACTGATGCTGTCAAAAACACACCCATCACATAGGAAGATCAGGGACAGAACTTAAACAGTTATTGCAAAAATAAAGTAGAAAACTATGCCTGTTCTAGGACTCTCACTATAACATAGAAACATACGTTGTAGGGATCAAGATGTATATGCCAAATGGGAGGGAAACTGACAGAACGTGACAGGGAACTGCGGAAAGCACTGGGGGATAAACCAGTTTATGAAGACTTAGAACAGGATGTTAGAGATAGATAGATTTAAGGGGAAGAGGAAGCGGTTTCCTTAAGATAGATAGAAGTGTGCGCTAAGACTTTGGAAGATGTGAAAGTCAGACTATGAGAACTGAAATTCAAAAGTGTAAGGGATTCAAGCAGGGCACTTATGTAGCTGGGAGCAGGATATATTAGCAGCCAGGAGTAAAGGCAAGGGAGCATCAGTCTTGCATTTCAAAGGTAAGTATAGAGGGTGATGGACTTTCTGGGGAGATTTGTCATTCTGTGGTCAAACACAGTCTGAACAGCAGAAGAGGGACAGGAAAGGTGTAAAGCTAGATCCAAGCTTTTGATACAAGAGATGGTGATGCCTGGACCAAGGTTTCAGCACTGGCACAGAGAAAGAAATTTAAACAGGAAAAAAAAATTTAGAACTACAGATAGGTTTCTATATTTCAGGTAAAGACAAAAAAAGAGACATGGTGATGTGTATTTTTAAAGTTAACTCCCCAAACATGGATTTTACCGTGAAGACTAACATATTAATAATTGCCTTGTGTTGCAAATTCCAGGGAAAGCAGGACAGATGGAAACACTTTTCACTCGCTGCTGAGAACACACGGCAGTTCATCCCTGACCTCGTTCTTGCTCTGAGATTGAATTAACTTGCACCAAGTTCTGTTTCTAAGGAAAGTTTGTGTAGCATATGTTAAAAAGAAGATAGAGATAAAAGTATGCAGTGCTTAACTTGCCTCAAAATCATTTTAAACACAAACCATTAGAAAACTGTTAGTTTGAAATTGTTTATGTGATCTTGCAAGGCTTTTAAAACATGATAACCATCACACTTTACACCTCTCTGAAAGGTTAGTTTAATCGTAGATCACATAAAATTGGTTTCCACAAATGCATAATGGTTCATGTGTCACACTTGAACTAAATGGTTTTTTAAATGGAGCTGAAATTATTTTGATGTGTACACATTCCCAGATTTTTTTTTTTTCTTACAACCTTTCTTAAACCAGCCCCCATCAGGAACCATTCCCTTAAAGTCTCATTAATAATTCAGATGTTCTGATGACTTTAAAAGATCTATGGAATTGAGGCTTTTTTTTAAACTGCTTGACAAAAAGATAAATGAATGTAGAAAGAAGCGGTAGGAGTCTGGCAAGCTGTAGATCATCTCTGAACAGATTGTAACTTTATCATTCTGTCAGGAAGAATAATTTAAAGCACTTAATCAGTTAGCTTCAGTGTGCAGGATGTAACATTATGAATTCCTATCGTCCAATCTGTTCAAATCAAAGGGAACTTAATTATAATAGGTAAGAGGGGGGGAGAGAGAGAGAAAGATTGGAGATTGAACATTGTTCAGACTCAGACAACTTTGGAGGGGAGGGAAATATTTACACTAAGTTCAAATGAGAGGACATTTTAAAAAGAATAAAAATACATTTTTTAAACAACAGAAAAAACAATATAAGTTATTGTTATAAGAACAATAAGTTCTGCTTATCTTCAGTGATAGGCCCCTAATGATTATTAGTATAACTCTTTTTTTTGAATTTAAGTTTTTAAAAAGAATAAGCACTAGTATCAAATCCATCATAAAATAAAAGGATTAAACCTTAATTAGTCTGGAGTTTCTTGTGGATGGGTTGCTCATAGATACTTAAAACCCATACCTGAAGTAAAATTGCCTAAATTTCGTATTCCCTAAAGTGACTGGGAAGTCTGGTGATTGTGGAAATCAATTCACTGCTTTAGAGGCCCTAACTAAAGAGTTAGTTTCTTATTTTTATGCAACTATGTCCAAGTATTCTCCAGTCTTTCTAGTACTGCGGTTATTATTCTCTGCTGCCCCTTCTGAGCTCTTGTACAGGTTCTTGTGCGTTGGGTGGAATTTTGTTTTGCTTAGGGTTGTTTAGTTTTTTTGGTTTTTTGTTTTTTTTATGAGCACTCCTTCCACTTTTGCCCTGATTCCAGCCCAGAGACAACTGCATTTTAGTGGTAAGCAGAAGTGGTAGTTTGTGTTACGTAGTCAGATAGCAAAGCTTCTGAAGCATTTTAGGTTCTCTGTTGGGATGAGAAGTGGTGCATAAACGTAAGACCAGCAGCTCTAATGTAGCATACATTCATTGCCATAGCTGCAGAATCCCATCCCTCGACCCATTTGTGCTCATCCCTGAAAACAGGGGCAGAAAGGGGAGAGGGAGAGGATGGACATCCTGTGTTCACAAATGCTTTCAAAGCACAAGCACCCAATGACCATAAACCACTCAAAGAACAGGAGTTTGTAAGTCTTTGAATAGAGCCATCTCATAAAGCTACGTATCTGTAGTTAAAAGATGAGAGCACTGATTGCTCTCTACAGGGCTTAAGAACATCATTCTTTTGATTTTTTTTTTTCTTATAACAATTTTAAGACATTTTTGCCAACCTCTGCATAAGAATAACACCGTACAGTGGTTACAGCCTCAAGCAAGCAGGGACCAGCTGCAGCACTGCACCCTCTCGGCATCCCTGCTCCCTCCCACACTGCTACCAGTCCACCCCATGTTGGTACCAGAAAACTCTTCCTGTGTCTGTGGGAGCAGACACTGCCCAAAGATATCAAAGGAACAGCTTCCCTGCTGATTTTCCTGGGAGTTCATGCTTCCTTTGCCTTGCTGTCATGTACCACTAGCAATCCATACAGGATTAACTTGAAACCTCAGTACATTCGGCTGCACCAGCAGGTATGCTGCAGGCCCGAGCCCGTCCCGAACTGGGCCGTGGAGCAGCGCTCCAGTGGGCAGGTTGCTAAGTAGCAATGCAATGGCCAGCACACGCAGGAACGCAGCCATCTGGCGCCCTGAGCTCGAGCCCTGTTTATTCTCACACCAGCTGCAGGAAAGTCTTATTTATGTTCTCGTGCCTGATTTCTGAGCCAGTGCTACCGACCACCTTGGGGCTGGAAAGGTTCAGAGAAGCCATCAACCTTTTAGGTATTCACCTGTACATGGACTCACATGCTCTTTTTCACATCACATTTATCCCATCTGGATTCTAAGTTTAGCCTTTTATTTGTATATTTTTTGTATAAATGAATCAGAGGGCATTCACCTGAGCATGTAAAACAGCTCTCACATTCAACAACAAGCCAACAAATTGCCAGTTTTCTTTAACGCCTTACTATCAAATCTGCAAACATGTCATTGTCCTTTCATGATAAGTATTTTCAAAGGTATTAATCTAATGCACTGTAGTGCTAGTAATTAATCAAAGTCACCTTCCATTGATTGCCTTTTTCTATGGACTTTACTGATTGCTTCCCCCCCGCCCTTTTTTTTGGTGTGTCTGTGTGTGTGTGTGTATGTGCGTGCGTGCACACGCGCGCGCATGCTTCACTAATTAAAATTCTCATTTCTCCCTCCTTATTCTGTCTCTACCCATTTTGCTCCTTAGCAGAAAAGAAATGGTTTACAGATGAGCCGGAGAATGCCTATCCCAGAAACATTCAGATCAAGCCCATGAGCACTCACATGGCCAATCAGATCAATCAGTACAAATCGACAAGCAGCTTGATACCGCCAATCAGAGAAGTTGAAGATGAATGTTGACTCCTTGGAGGCCAGAACTATTTTTTTAAAGCCTGACAAACTTCATGAATGGTGATGTGACATTTATTCCTCTTACATGCTGAACCACTGGTGGAGAAGTTGCGAAGGGCAAGCGTTATGGGAAAATAAAGTAGACAGATCTTTGTTTGTCTGCCTTTAATATTGCTTCCACGTATTTTGGAAATGAACACAATCAAAACTAGTCATGTATAGCCTCTAGCATTTTAAATTATATTTATTTATTAGAAAAAAATATATATTTTTCTTTTTTTTTTCATTGTCAAGTATTTTCCCTTAAAAAAAGCTGTATATGTGGCCAGACTCCTAAGAATTAAAAAAGAAAAAAAAATCTGCTCAGTCTTCGGCTTAAAGGAGAATGATGGTCACAGTTATAAGGACATGTAAGTAAGGGAGACAAATGATATATTTACAAAAATTTAAAGGTCCAATTTGTATTTTAGTAAATCAAAAAAAAAAAAAAGAAGAAAAAAAGAAAACAAGAACAGTTCACCAACATGTTTCTTTACTGAAGGATGTGTATTTTGTTCAGCATTGACACCAGCTCTTAATAAACTGAACTTATTTATTTTCAAAGTCAAAAGTCATATTTTTGTACATGTAACATTCTTCTGAATTATTCATTGTTTTATTACCATATGCAGCTCATCTTAATTGCTGGTTGTGTTGAGGTGCAACTCCCCTCTCCAACCCACGCACACTAGCCCCTACAAAAAGTCCAGCATCCATGATGATAACCTTCGGTGAAACTAGGGTAGTGAAAACGGGTATAAACCGAGGGTCACGCAGACAGGGTGCTCATAGGCAGCACTTTTTGCTATGAATTTCAGTGTCTGGCAAATTCCACGCAGCTTCCCATTAGCCACCCACAGCTGCAAATTCCCAGAAGCTTGGGAATTCCTCTTCTTTTGCCATGTATTTAAATGCTTTAATCCAGCAGGCATATATAGCACAGGAAAACGTAAGTTATAAACCCTATCATCTACCATATTTAGTTGGATTCTTACTTCAAAAGCCCTGATGGCCCTGCATCGGTCTTTGCTTACCTGGTTCAAATTCTTCCTGATGCATAGACAGCTTTAGGTCCAGATCTGTGAGCTCTGACAATAGCCCATTGCTCTGCAAAAGGGACACCTAATCACCTTTTTGGTGAGCTCAGATCAGAATGAAAACGTCTGGTTTAGCCTCAGCTCTATAATCTCCCAACATGCTGTTGTCAGTTAATTTCTGTAACAAGTAACACCTTATGTTAGCAGTTGCATTTTTTTATTTTCACTTTCCTGGGACACCATGCATAAAAGTACAGTAATAACCAAATCAAAATAAAAGTAATGAATGTATTTATTATGCTAACTTACAAAGGGCCTTTGAAAAGCTGCATGTTATGTCAGCAGTTTCACAAAGCGGCCAACGAGCTTTACAGCCATCAAACAAAAACGTGATGTTTCATACCTGTGCTGCAGTATCTGTTCACTTAACCAGTTGATGTTCTAAACAATTTAGTAACTCTCTCGATCTCCAATTAGCAAGCTTTGACACAATTGAGTGAAAAAAAAAAAAAAAGAGAGAGGGAAAAAGAATGTGCTACTGAGGATCAAAATAACATAGGACCCAGTCATCAGAAAAAGCAGATTTTCATTGTGCAAGTTAACTTTAGGCTTTGTAATTTTGCAGAGTTGTAAAACACCACAATAAAATATACTGTGGTACTTTTATCATTAGAGAAATATCAGTGAATCAAACAACTACAAGGCAGATGAATTTACTGTGAAAACAATGATGTCCACTATATAATCCAACATTTAAGCTAAACTATCTCAGCTTCAATGTTTGTCCACTGGCTGCGGTACAAATATAAACATACTACCACCTAATAGGCTTTATTCTGGAGTGACTTCTTGGACTGTGACTACTTTGTTGTTACATTTTGTAGAATAGTTATTTAAAAAAAAAAACCACAAATTGTTAATATAATGTATGTAAAAATTGGACTATTTAAAATATTTATTTCACTCTCCTACAAAGAAACAAAATAATTTAAGCAATTATTATTTTTTTTTAATACTTACAACTTGTTTAACCCATTTCACAGTCCCTAAAACAAAATATGACTCTGGTGGATTCTTCTGATCTATGCTACTTCAGCTAATGACAGGTTATAATTTGCATTCAGTTTCTGCATTGGGTCATGTTGTATTCACTTTGAAGTCAGTGCTCCTTTTTCATTCATGAACTGCAATCATATTATAACCAGAGTAAAAAAAATTGGCGCTGAGTACAAAAGAATTTTTGAAATTTGTGTCCAACTTCAATGAGTACACCTGAATTTTTTTAAAGACTTGTTTTAACATATGGGCATAGAAAAGAACTTTCTTTGCTGAAACTACCATTTACAGTGCCATGTCTTAGCATCCTTCCTTCAAAAGTGAGTGTTCGCTGTATAAAGCGTATTAATGACACAAATATGTAACAGTCCTACATTGCTAAGGTATGTGTGTCTCTGTCCAGTTTATCTGTCATACCCCAAAATACCGTGCTGCCAACTGTACACAAGTGAAGAACAAGATCTGAATACACTCACTCTCTCACAAGACAAATAGATCTATGTATATAAAAAGATAGATACAGAGAGAGAGTGAGAGAGAAACCCTGGTATAGCTATGTTTTGCATTATCCATTTGTAGAACTAGCTAGCAGCAATTAATAATCTTTTCTTACTCCTCCTTTCCATGATCAAAGAGTGCAGTGACTCAGGACTGGGTGCTGGCCATTAGATGGTGGACATAGAAAACCTAGTGGAGATCTTTGACCTTCGGCCAAGGAACAGTACAATAAGGTCAGCACCAATGTTTGGATGTATTTTGTTACATCAAGGCAAGTGGCTGGGAAAGCGGCTGAAGTGAGAGCTGAAAGAAGACATTTTCTCTTTTTTTAAACGATTCTTACCTCTCTCCCCAAAGAAAGCAAAACAGAATTCCAGGTTCTCGTGAACTGCATGTGCAATTAATTCGGGTGTAACTATTTCTTTTGTAACTCACAAATTAGCTGGTGTGCGTTTGCTTATATGCACGCACGCACGCACACACACACACACACACACACATATATATATTTATGTATGTGTGTGTATATATATATTTGCTAGCAATCAGAATCACATTAACAATATGGTCTTTTTTTTTTGTGGAGGAGAGAGGATACAAAGACAGAAATAAATATATTACTTATAGACTGGTGCATGGAGGACTCATATCCACTGTTCTCTCCTAATTTGACCAAGAATTAGCCGTTCTTTTTAGCTGCATTAGTTCTGTACGGACATTGTGCTGTGGAAACCTATGTCCGCGTCTCATGTGCATACCCTCAGCCCCACTGCACATGCACGCACAGCCATTGAAAGCCTGCTATTCAGAAACTGACTGCAATTTGGCAGCTACAAAAATAATAGTAAGGCCTCTATGGAACCTGCTGTTGTTTGGAAGATAATAATTAGACAATATATTTATTCATAGGAAAAAAAAAAAGCAAATATTTCCTTTTGCAGTTCAAATACTTCCTAAAAATGTCACCTGTGTTCTAGCAGCTCTCGTTCTCTGAAGTCAAGATCTGAAAGTACTGGCCCTGGCCCTGGGGCATGGTCATTCCCACAGTGCTATGGGATTAGGGACGAGGTGGTTATTCCAGCCGTGTGCAACGTGCCCCTGCCAGCCCCAAGGGCAAGTGTGCAGGGGGCAGAGCGAGAGGGAGGGACAGCAGCAGCCGGGTCACCTCGTGGCCACATCCTGGCTGGCTTTGATGGGAAACACTGTGCTGCCTGTACAAGGTGAAGGCCATGAGATCCAAAATAATGAGGACCCCATGTGGCCTTATTAAGGCACCCGGGTGTCTTGATGGCTCATCAATTGCTTGCAGGCTGTCGGAGCAGCTGTAACTGTAAAGGAAGCTAGGTTTAGCCACACTAAAGATGGTGGGGTTTTTTTCCTATTTTTCATTTAAAAAAAAAAAAAGTAGCCCAATCATTCACTGTGTGCACGTGAAAAGACATAATTACCCTTAATCATATCAGGAGAAGGGAAAAACTAGTTGTCATGTAACGCACAAAGAGAGACCCTACAAAAGTATTAGCTGTAATCTATTATTATAGGTTTTTTGGATGGATATTTGGCCCATGTATGGAGGGTTTGCATCTTCTGAAGTCTTTACAGAGTAAGAGAAGGATGGTAAAGTGTAATAGTGTGTTCTCATTCACAGAGGGCTATTTCTGTTGGTTTAGTATATTTTTTTAATGCATAAACTACATTGAACAAACAGTGCAATAATTGGATGCATAAACTAATGCATGACAAGAGCAATAATTTACACATGGGTAATTATGCATGTTTTCACTGCCTGTTCACTCACCACCTAACCTATAGACATGCTAGCAACTTCACTGTTAAAGCTGACTCGCATGGTCTCGAGGTTAAAGAGCAAAGCTGGGCTTAACTGTTCTCTTCAGGAAGCATGTTTGTAATGGCTCTTGAATGTCAATGTATTTCAAAATGAATACATATTCAGGTTTAGGGCTTTTTTTGTTTTTAGAACTATCATCATTGTCTATTTTCCTAGCACCAAAAGAAGTGCATGGTCCACTTTTCATTTCTAGTTTTAAATGTGCATAAATAAAATAACTAAGTGCGTGGAAAGGGGAGAGAAGAGGATAAAGTGAAACTGTGGTGTAATGGATTGGCATGGGAATATTTGTCAAAGTCAATGGCAGCTGTGTGGAAAAACATTCAGGGCAATGGAGAGTTCTTTATATGGCTTTTTTTCCCTCTCCCCAACACCTAAACCACCTTTCTCCCAACAATTTGAACATACTTCTTTTTTTTAAAGGATGTATTAACATCTCCAGGCTTAGCAGATTTTTTTTCTTTGATCATTATATACACACACACCTCTTTTATAGGTCTTCTAATATTTAGTTAGCAGGCATAATAATTGTAGTATTTTTATACTGAAAAATATTAGTAGGAGTGGGTACAGGCTCAGTCTGAAATAAAGGAAGGACTGGAGTAGCTGTACAGCTGCGGCTACCTCCTCTGATGGTGCATAGACCTATAATATTGATAATTCTGCCCCAGTATTTAGCATCACAGCTATATTTATAAAACTAGTATATCTATCCTGCATAGATATTCTCTGCCATAGAACATGCCGCCACATTGAAACTATATAGTCTATAATGTGCACTGGTCTATATAACCAATTAAATTCCACTGATTCAATAGATAGGGCTGCTGGTCTAACATGTCTGTTCTATATAATGGTGCACTGCTGTTTACTGTCATAATGAGAAGGAGTAGGGGGAAGGAAAACAATACTTTTTTATTACTTTGGTTCTAATTAACAACAATATTTAACTTCAGAATCTAAACACAGCAATGCTGCATCGAATTCACACCTCAGTGAGGTTGAAAGAAAGCTTCTCACTGCTTCAGTCGACATATTTTAGAGACCTTTATATATTTGGAAAAAAAAAAGCGTATAGGCAGTTGAACACATAGAATAGAAAAAAAATAGATTTCTGCAAAAATCAGAAAGTGGGCATATGAAGCTTTTGTGGATGCTAACTAAGGGGAACTACACCAAAAGGGCAGCAGAAATTATCTCATGTTCTTAGGTAGCAGTTCAAAAATGCTGCTTCTGCCATGGTATTGCTTGGGACACACAGGCTTAGCCAATGCAAACTGTCTAACTTCTGCCCCGAAAAGGTTGATATAGCTTAACTTTTGCATTTCTGTAGAGTTCAAGGCTGATTTTAGTTTTCTTTCTTCAGAAAACGCACACACACGCACACACACACACACACACACACACACACAGAGTATATTTTGATGGCTACACTTTTCTATTTAGTTTTAGTTTGGAGGTGGGGATGGGGGGGGTACACTAAGAAACAGCTATCATGTTAACTTAAAAGTTCATCAATAAAAAGGAGTATGACTTCATCATTTTACTTTTTACCATTAAGGATTGGTAAGAGAGAACAAATGCTGGTGCTCGGAAATGATCTACCTGACTTTGTCATATGTAATATCCAGTGATAAATATATTGTCCTGTAAAAAGGGTTTGTACATAACTTGTACATGGTTTCATTTTGTATTTTTCTCAGATTAAAATTTATGTATTTGTGTTCTAAAACAAGGAGTGATTTCTGTGGTTTTTTCCTCTTTGAAATGGCCATATCCCAAAAAGTTATGCAACATGTATTGCCAAAGCATGAACAATACTTTATTCAGACAACCAACACTATTAATACTTTGAATGAAGAATGGTCCAGCTGCCTATCTCTCTTTTTTGCTCTCCAGGACAAGCCCCCTTTTAATAATAATTAATAACAGCGGCTGTGGAGGATGCTGTGACATCTGTAAGTGAATAATTTCACAGTAACAACAAATGTCTTCCCAGCACCAGTTATGTAGTCAGACGCAATGATAATCTGGCATAGTTTAGCTACTTTACATGCATGAGCATAGAATTTTACCACATCCTCAGCTCTGGTATGTTGGACTGATATTTTTGCTAACGAGTCCAAAGATTTTCTAATTTCTTATGATGAATACCTTTAAAAGTTATTTGCAAAATTTGGAATATGTTTCTCTACTGCAGAATCCGAACTAAGTATAACCGTACAAGGAATTGGTTATGCGCTTAAGTTTAAGAAAAGATCAGTCTCCTTTTGAAGTCTATGAGATTATTTGTATGGGGCTAAAAGCCATGTTCACTTCAGTTTTTGTCAGGATTTAGAGCCTGTTATTTCAAATAACAGGCATCGCTAAAGCTGATGTCATTGATCTTCAGTGCAGCAACCTCACATTTGTAATTAACCACAATCTAGTAGACCTGGTTTGCTACTGAAATGGGGAGGCGAGGAGAGAGGAGCACTCAGCTAAGCATCCAAACAACAAAAAAGGCTTAATATAAAATTTGCTCCCAACTCGGAGGTAAAGAGTGCAGAGAACCTGGTACAGGATGGCTACACTGGTACCAGAGGTATTCTAGGTAAATAGAGTGTTTCTTGGGAAAATAAAAAAAGTGTACATGATGATACCTCTGCAGGACTAGGGAGACCTGTGTAGCGAACTGGATCAGGGCCACGGTCACATCAATAAAGTAGTCCAGACCTGATCGAGTGCACCTACCAGAACGGCCCTTACATAGTCTCACTGGAGGAGAGTGCTTTGCCATACCATAAAACCTGTGATTTTTGTTTGGCAGGATGAAAGAATTGCTATCTACTATGAAATGTGCATGGAGAAGCAGGCCTACATAAATGATATCCTTGTCCCTGGATTTTGCTTGGTAACCCTGGATCTTATCCCGCCGCGGTATCAGGTGCTAACTAGTAACCTTGACTTCCTCTTGCTGAGGGAGCCGGAGAGCACGGCCGAGAGAGTCGTTTCAGAGTCACCATGAATTGGTACCCAGTTTAAGACAGAAAAGAATTCTTCACCATAGGTTTAACCAGGTTCCTGCTCCCCACACAATACTCCGTATCACAAAAGGGAGATCTGGCCGTATGCGGTTATTCGTGAATAACATGTGTGCATGTGCAAGTGTGTATCTACCTCCATGCATATATGTCACTACCTTCTTTCAGGGGCCTTAACACCTAAATATACTGTCAAAAACACTTTAATCAAACCGGGCCATAGAAGATAGCTGTGGTGAGATGCTGTTTCGTTATGTATCAACAGTGCTATTAGGGGCTGGCAGCGAGGTTAGACTGAGCAGCAGGCCACACAGTGCCCTGCAATGGCGCGATCCTACTCAGCAAGCGGATGCAGTGAGTGAATGGTGAGCTCCCTCCCCCCCCCTTAATGGACTATGTGGCACTCCTGCTACTCTTTCTCAATACTTTAATTAGGATATAATTGCCTTTTCCTGCCTATGATGATAAATATCATTTTTCTTATTTATTTTAATTGCACACATATGGTTTGAGCTAGGGAGGTGGTTGAATAAGCAGAGCTTCTGCATTAAAGAAGCTCTAGTAAGTATAGAAAAGCTGCCCAGGTCTGCATTGTCTTGAAACTTGTATTGGGTGTATTTTTAAATAAGTTGTTTAAAAATGCCCTGCAGGTGTGGAGCATGAGCCATGTTTCTGATCCAGAGATGGATTTAAGGGAAGAGAATGTGAAACATATCATCCCCTCCCAGCCCAAAGTGAAGGTCAAGCATTTACCACTATATTGTGTAGCAATAATTAAAAAAAAAAAAGGCAAAACAAAAATAAGCCTCTTTCCTCCTCTCCCGTACCATAGCCCCATCCTTTCCCCCCTCACACAAGAAAAAAGACCTGTTTGAAGAACAGCAGCAAATCTTCCCTATCCAAAGGTCGAGTATGTTCAGGTCTACTTCTAAGTATTGCTGGAAAAGCAGCCAAAAATCATATTAAGTGAAACCATAACCAATTAACAGCTATTACACAATACAGCAGTCTCATCTTTCATCTTTGCAAGCTCACAAGTTTTTGACAGCAACAGTGGAAGAGTACTCAGTTAATGACAGTAGTAGTGATGAAAATTTTGTGACATGATGCACTGCTTTCAAAAAATTAGCATTATTTTTCCAGACCATGGAAGAAGTGTTCTTCCTACCTACACCTTACATTATAAAGGCAAAAATAAAAACAAAAACAAAAATAAAAATAAAAATAAGAATAAATGGATCCTTTCTTGCTCCCTCTGCCTTAATAACCTTAGACATGAATAGCATCTAAAAAAAATAAAAATTAAAAAAAAAAGCTTTACTCTTGTCATCAAATTCTGGTTGTGCAGTGTCTGCTCAATATGATGATTGAACATGTATGGGCAGTGTGTGCACCTGCTCCATGTCCTTTAATCTTTCTTTAGTTACACTTGGCCTTGTAGGCCAGGGGTTTAGTTGCTGTTACATCATGCCATTACATTACCTCTTGTTACAGAGTACTAAAGCAGACATTGAGGCACGGCACATTTCTACCAAGTGTCCTGTATGTACGCAGTGAGGAAACAACTTAAATCAGAAAGCCAAGTTCACACAGAATCAGTTTATTTTTCCCTTTTACTGAATATGAGCAGAATGAACTGTCACATGATATTTTAAAAAAGACAGAAAGGAGGACAAAAAGCATCTTACGATGAGAGATGAAGTACGTATATGCACTTCAGTAACCAAAATTCAGCTTCCTGGGCCTCCTCCAGGTCTGTGCTTGGCTCTCTGGGTTCTGCACATTGCAGGTCTGTGTCGAGGAAATCCTGCTCCTGCGGCAGCACTGACACCTGCCCCCAGTCACCACCGCAAAGGAGAGACCCCAGGCAATGTGGATGGCTGTGACCACACTGAATGACAGCTGCCCCCTGCGCTCTGTGTGTGTGTGTGTGTGTGTAGAGATCGATACAAGGCTAGATACAGAGTTCATGTGCATATGCATTTTACATACACATGTGTATACTTACTGTATTTTTTCACATGCACGTACATATATGTATATGCATATATACATTTTTCTCTTTTACATAAGGATATATTTATATATAGACACACACACACACACACGTATATGTGTGTGTATACATACCCCCCCATACACACACACACACACACACACACACACACACACACGAGAGAGGGGAGTGAGTGAGCAAGCATCCTTACAAATAACTAACTCTTTTTACCATATCTATAGCTTGACTTCAACCCCCTCCCCCCCCTCAAAAGAAAGGTATGGGGCAGAGGCAGTGTGGCAGCAGCAGCTTCACAGCATCTCTAGCTAGATGACTCTATGTGTGTGTGTGTGTGTGTGCGTGTGCGTGTGTGTGTGTGTGTGTGTGTGTGTGTGTGTGTGTGTGTGTGTGTGTGTGTGTGTGTGTGTGTGTGTGTGTGTGTGTGTGTGTGTGTGTGTGTGTGTGTGTGTGTGTGTGTGTGTGTGTGTGTGTGTGTGTGTGTGTGTGTGTGTGTGTGTGTGTGTGTGTGTGTGTGTGTGTGTGTGTGTGTGTGTGTGTGTGTGTGTGTGTGTGTGTGTGT